AATTTATCTTACGTGAAATGTTGATAAAGTCACAAAAATGTAAAAATCTGTTCTTAAAATTAAAAAAAACCAATTCAAAAATTAATTGTTAAGAAGCGCTTTAAGAATTATGCATGATAAAATATTAAAATAGACAAAGTTAATTACAAGAAAATAATGAACTATTATACCATGCATGGTGTCATATTCAGAAAACTTCAGAAAGATTATGAATGTACTTGGTTTAATAGTTAATTGCGATTTATCATGGGACAACCAGATTTATGTTTTAGACGATTTCCGCTAACCTCCTGATTAGAACGTACGCTGGGCAATCTAGCTCATTTGATTGAGAAGTAAAAGCTTTTGATCCATTGGTGATGAAAGCGTCCTCATCAATCGCTTTATGCACCCTTTTTTTGAAATTATGTGTTCACTTTCACGTCCAAACTGTATAAATCCTATTATAATTATCTAATTAAAAGAATAATTTAAACTATATGTTTGAAATGATATTTGGCATAATTAAAATTGATACTGTTCACGTCGTGTCACTTTCAGCTTCATTTAGCCCACAACTCATTGCCGTGAACATGCTTATCTTGATCAGACTGAAAAAAAATATTGAAACGCAGTTAAAATTTTTATTTGCTGGTCATGGTAGTAACTTTTGCCTAATTACGTTTTCAGACGTATAATGTAATGAGGTTTTATTGATTATACTCACCAATTATCTCAGGTGCCTTTGAAAGACTGTTCATGGTACAGGAAACCTTTTATTTTTTCTTTACAGTATGTAGAGTTCATGGGTATTACATTCATAAATATGTTTTATCTTTTTTACATTCCCTTCTAAAAATGCATTTAATTAGTGTGCAGATATTTCCAGATTTCACCATATTGCCAAAGTGTTTATTATATGTCAATTTGTATTTTCGCAGTATTATTAAAGTCTTTGGTTCTTTTATAAATTATTCGGCTAAAAGCTGAGATTTAACTAATTCAATTGTAGTAAGGGAGTAAAATCCTTCTAGACATTTTGACAAATATGCGCACAGTAACTAAAAAAGCCATTAAGGAAATATCCTAAATCGAATTGCAGAAAAAATAGTAGGTATATCAGTTTTCATATTTCAGCTTAATCAATATTTGATATTTACACAAAGGTTTGTACAAACAAATTTACTAATCGGTCTTACAGCATTCAAAATATAGAACTTTTACCATGTGGATAATTGTAATGAATCCTTTTAATCTACCTTATGTTTATTCCGTTTATCCTAAGAAGAGTGTAGCAGTTTTACAAGGCATAGACAGGGCGATGTCTTTCCACACAATGAAGACATTAATCAGGAGAGAATTCAAGNTTTTTAGCGCTGTTTGTGAACAATTCAACGATTTGATCAGATCATAACGTAAATAAATAGCTTTATGATTTATTAATCTAAATTTTCCATTTTTCTTTAGATAGAGCTACGGAAGAACAAAAAGCCTGTTTGTCATTTGGTAGGTATTATTGGCCTGCAGACTCAGTCACAATACTCAAGTCATGTGGCGTATTAAATCTCATTATCCATATTTTCAAACCAAGTTAAACATGAGCATTTAATTCACTTTACTGTAACGTTTAGTAGGAACAGTTGGATTGCACATTTGTTTAATATCGAGATGGAATGCAAAATGGCACATATTTTCTTTTTGAAGTCTCACATATAAAGGAATTTATGTCTACTGAGAAAAAGGCGGAATGTCTTGTACATGTGTGTCGACTGATAATAACGAAATGCGAAAGTTTGTTTTGTTTAGTTTGGTGTAATATTAATTTTATTGAAATCAAAATCAGTCTGCTATTTGAATATAAATCGAATAATTATTAATGTTTAAATAAAATACATTTCTGGAGATAGAAAATGAATAAAACATTAACTTTATTAACCATTGTCATTGTTCAAATAAAATTGCAATAATCTTTGTCATGACCAATAAAAACGGCAAATTCATTTGTGAATTTGACGTTCACAATTTTAATTATCTTAATCACAATACGTTTAAAGCCAAGATTGAAATAAAGATAACGCTGAAATAAGCTAACCTAAGCCTAATTGCATATAGTATTTACTGTGAGACTGAATTGATGTCTACAAATTTGACAAACCCAATGATTTTACTTTATGGTCAATTTACCTTCAATTTTGCTATGTCTTTCATATGTAATATTGGAATTGCAATCTTTTATTGTACTTACTGCTTTTTAAAGTAGTTTGATAAAAATTAATAATTATTAATTTTTAATATTTCCCGTGAATATATATTTTATCAATCTATGACATAATTTCTAAATTTCATTTCGGATAATTTACATTTTAAGTCGGAATCTTTATTAAAGGCATTTAGATTAGCTAATTAAGCTGATTTCTGAAAAAAACGCTTTATATAATAGGCAATCGTAGAGTATCCGTCGGAGGCTAAGATTTCATGATAGATCAATTTGATATTCAAATTTGCTAACGGGTTTAGAAATGAAAAATAGTTAATTGTAAGTGATGGAACAGATTTCTTTATTATTTGAGTTAAATTATAATGCATTAATTTACTTAATGCGGAAGTCGCCTTCATATGGCTTTTAATAAAATTGAAAAAAATTCGTCATTTTTTATTCAAAAATGGATTTTACTTTTAAGCACATAAGTTGGGTATTTAAGGAAATACAAAAAATCTAAACAATGTTTATTTATTTATTTCAAATGGCAGGCTTTATGATATTTATCATTAGCCCCCCTTAATCCTTTGACGTTCAGCTTGCCCCATGGGTAGGGGGTACATATATAGCAGTTAACTAATAGCAGTTCATTACACCTAAGAGGGGGGGGGGGGAACATTTATAGCAGTTAATTAATAGCATTTCATCAGCTGCCTTCTTGCTTTCCAGTATCTTTGGCTTTCCGTCCTTGTCTTTAGGGCTGGACACCGAATCAGGTGGGTCTTCTCCATTTCCTCATGTAGGTTACATAGAGGGCATGTGGGTTGAGTGTATACTTCCAATCTGTGAAGGTGTTTTGCCAAGTAATCGTGTCCGGAACGCAGCCTAAACTCAGCAACGGCTTCGATTCTTGGCCAGTCGGGTATGTCAGAGATTGCCACTGTCCACTGTTTCTCCTTTGTTCAAGCTTTAATTTCGTTGCAGCTTGAGGTATGGAATTCTCTCCTGATTAATGCCTTCATTGTGTGGAAAGACATCGGACGGTCCATGCACTGCAAAATCGTTGTCCCCTTCTTAGCAAGTGTGCCACCAAGCTCGTTGCCTTTAATGCCACAGTGACCAGGAATCCATTGTAGGACCACTGTTTTGTTTTTCTCTCTCAGCAGCTCATAGAGTTTTCTACAGATTTTCCAGATTTTGCAGTGTTGATTACCATTCCATTGTTGTCGCACCAGTTTGCTAGTAGTTTATGTCCACAATTTAGGGCACTTTCTGTCCTCTCCTGAGCGATTTTCTTAGGGGTGGAATACCATAGAAGGGGATCATCTGCGTAAAGTAAGCACTTGATGCCCCTGACTGTCTGTACCAATTCGGATATGTCATTGATGAAGAGATTGAAAAAAGTGCAGCTTGTCACATCTCCCTGTGGTAGGCATGTATGTAAAAGACTGGATTTTGATCCAGCATTTCCATATCTGAATTTACATTTTTCTAATCAAATAAATGCTTTTATCCAGTTAAGCCTGTTATGCTTTATACTTATCTTCGTCACTTTTCTAATTAGCTTCTCTTTCCATACTAATTCATATGCTGATTTGAAGAACTTCTCTTTCCATACTAATTCATATGCTGATTTGAAATCGATGAAAACAGCTGTTAGGGTATTTTGTACATCAAGGGCATCTTTGATGTGTTGAGAGAAAGTGGCTATTTGTTGGTTTGTTGATCTTTGTGGTCTAAAACCTACTTGTTCACTCCTAGGAATATTGTTGGTCTCAAGGAACCAGGTCAGACTCCTGTTAATCATTCTTTTTATAAGTTTAGCCAGCACGCTTGTGAGAGAGATAGGCCTATAGTTGTCGAAGTTGCTAGGGTCTTTGCCCTTTTTAGTACTATTATTACTATGGCAAATTTCCATTGGTTAGGTACGAGACTGTTCTTCCAGATTTTGTTGTAAAGCGTCAGCATTGTTTCCTTGGCTTTTGGTCCCATTCTAATTAGAAATTCCGGATGAATACCGTCTTCGCCAGGAGATTTCTTGCACTTTAACTGTTTTATCGCAGCACTAAGTTTCCATGGCCGGAATGGTTCAGTGAGTACATTATTTGGTGTTGTCGGCAAGGTCTGAATGGTTCAGTAAGTACATTATTTGGTATTACCGTGTCCTCCTTAATTTCACCAAACTGTCTTATTGGTGTTGCGTCTTCCTTAATTTCACAAAACTGTCTTACAAGAAGCCTTTAAATCTCTTGAAGATTTTCTGACAAAAGGGTTTTCTAGAAATCTCTTGAAGATTTTCTGACAAAAGGGTTTTTCTTTTGCTTGTGGATTTTCTGACAAAAGGGTTTTTCTTTTGCTTGTGGGAATTCCTCGCAAAGTGTTAGCTATTTCGGTGTCGGTGGTAAGCAATTTGCTGTTTAAATTCGGAGTCGGTGGTAAGCAGTTTGTTTTTTAAACGTATTTGTTATGGGAATTGAACCTCGCAAAGTAGTTAGCTATTTCGGTGTCGGTGGTAAGCAGTTTGCTGTTTAAGCGTATTGGTTCTTTTTTGGGTTTTTCTCTGTTGTTTTGCAGGTTTCTCAGACATTTGCGTTGGCCATCACTTTGGTAGTTGATATTTGAGATGAACTTTTTTGGTATCACTTTGATACTTGATATTTGAGATGAACTTGTCGAACGCTTTGATAGTTGATATTCGAGATGAACTTGTCGAAGTAAGTTTCATAGTTGATATTTGAGATGAAGTTGTCGAAGGAAGTCCGTAATAGCTGATATTTGAAATGAACTTGTTGAAGGAAGTCCGGTTTAGTTGATATTTGAGATGAACTTGTCGAAGGACGTCCGTTTTGCTTCTAAGATGGCTTGCCTTAGGACAGCTGATTGTCGTCTCCAGGTTTGCTTGCCTTAGGACAGCTGATTGTCGTCTCCAGGCTTTTACCTCTTTCGTTCTTCCAGTTTGATCAGCAGTGTTGCGAAGGGCGTCCCAACTTCCAGTCTGATCAGCAGTGTTGCAAAGAGCGTCCCTCCCAGTCTGATCAGCAGTGTTGCGAAGGGCGTCCCTCTTACACTGATCAGCAGTGTTGCGAAGGGCGTCCCGCTTTCTTTTAGCTTCCTCAAGGTGTTTGGACCAAAACACTCGATAGTGTTTATGTGTTTAGACCAAAACACTCGATAGTGTTTAGTCTTGCCTATGGGGTTTAGACCAAAATACTCGATAGTGTTTAGTCTTGCCTCGAGGACTAGTTTTCTTTGCACATCTGATCAAAATATTCGTAATATTGTTGCAAAGTTTGTCAGGATGTTGGTTGGCACTTTCCTTGACATGCTTTTTCTGCCGATGCTAATACTAGCAATAACTGGTTTGTGACCAGAACCAGGACC